AGCAAAGTAATGTGCTAGGTTTTATGTGGTTGCTAGATAAATAAAACCTCACCCTGGCTCTGCCTCCAAGTTGCTTTTCAGCTATAAAACTTAGCTTTCCCAAAGAATCCTGATCACATTTGAAGTATTGTGCCAGTGAGGAAGGTTTGTGTGTATCCAGGTCTCTGGATGCCCGTTCATCTGTACAAGAGTAGCACGTGAAAACATCTAGTTATTTCCACACTAGTTGGGGAGAGGAACACAGATGATCTCAGCCTAGTCGCTTTTCTGTTTTTCCAAGTGCTGGCTGCCCTGGGAAGGTAAACATCCTTAGCATGGGAGTTCCCGAGGTCATCTTCATGCTTGGAGGGTGCCAGGCAGCCAGGGAATCTGAGGCTGGGTCTCCAGTGCTGCTTTCAAATTCCTGGGAAGAGTGGGAGGAGGTGCAATTGGAAGGTGCAATTGCAGACGTGCAAAGTGACCCACATGATGGTCAGAAAGCAGAGAGGGTAGGAAGCGGCGGGGTACAGACTGATGCCCTTATTGGGTGGTCTCCCACAGAGACCCCGTCGAGGTTGACACATCCTTGGGGAGCCCGCCTCTGGCATGGCTGGTGGGTGTGTAGATGAAGCCCAACATCAGAGATGTTTTCTGTTAACCTCCTCCCCCCGCTTTTGGCCAGGCACTCATCAGCTTCTGGCTTCCGGGTTCGTTTGACTCCCAGCTGCCTCTATCGACAACATCGGATAAACCATTTATTTCTTCTCCATTTTCTCTGCACACATTACAGCCAGGTTTCAGCTTTTAGCTATTCCCTGAAGAAGCCACACCAGGCTCACTTGCAAGTGAAATGCCTGACTTGGAGGAGGCATGCTCCGGCCCACGTGGAGAGGTCAGCTCAGGGCTGGCCTAAAGAGGCCTGTGGCCTTTCTGTGAGGAGGCCCAGGGGAAGTACTCTTTGGGGATCTGGACAGCACCTGGCTGTTAGCAAGGTGATTTTGGTGATTTCTATGGAGAGTCAGAGACATGGGATTTGGCTGTGAGTTCCATTCTAAAGTGCTTGAGAACCTGAAGGGAGTTCCAGGGTTTGATCTACCCATCTGTTTAAAAGCCTGTGGGCAAGGTCCTTTTGAACCTAACCTTCTTCGAATGGCCAGTCTCCCCTTATCCTTATTGCTAGCAGGAGAGGAGAGGGAACTGTCATTCAAGTTGGATCCTAACCAGGCCAGACTGGAAGTATTGTCCCTAAGCAGTGGACAATGGCCCTTGATCCCATGAGTCCTCTGCTCCGTGACTTTGGTGAGGTCTGCCCCTGCTTACGAACCCTGGGGTTCTTCTGGGTGGATATTGGCAGGAGGGTCTAGGGGTAGGAAAGTCCCATGGGGGAGAAACCTGCCCTGCTCTCCTGTGAGGAAGCTCATGTCTGCACAAGTTTCTTGGAAGGCATGGAAGTTGGTGGGCTGAGTCAGAGAGTGTGGGGAATTTGGGAAGGGGACCCTGGAAATGTTCTGATGATCTCCAATCACTGGGCCTGTGTACTTGTAGATGCAATACCAACTTCCTCCAGGTGGGGGTACAAGAGATGGAAGCCATTCCAGCATCCCACCCCTAGGCTCCTACAGGCTTTCTTTTCTTTTACCCACCCACCACAACTCCTTCAGAAACTCTTAGTCATAAAGGAATGGCCAAGAGAGTTGGCCTCCAGCCCTAGAAATGCCTGCAAATGAGAGTCTTCCTTTTATGTCCTTGGACATTCTCCCCGTTGGACCTCAGGACCTAACACCACGTTGCCTCTTGCTGTCTGAACAACCTAGACGTTTTGCCTTGAGCTACTTGCTACAGTGTGCAGGACTGAGGCTGACACAGCTTTCATGAGGTTAGAGAAAAGGGCTGCAGATCTGGGAAGTTGTGTGTAATGGTCTGGAGACGATATTTCCATTTGGCTTGCTTTGGCTTCTCTAAAAAGCAACCACAGCAACAAACAAACAGGAAGCCCCCATCCCCCACTCTGCAAGCTCTCCTCCTCTTTCAGGTGTAATGTGATTGTAGTCTCAGTCTACAGGTGTGTGTGCCACTCTGGTCCTCTGTCTTCTAGGGATGCTCCTTTCTCCTGTGTGTCAATTCCCACTCCTTTGTAGCTCCAAGTGTGAAGTGCAGTGACGTCCTGCCCTGTCTAAGGGATCTATTGAGACCTCTTGGTGTTTCAGTATTGGAGATGAGGCTGTGCCACATCTCCCACCACCCTAAGGGGATACTCTGGTTTGGTGACTTCCCAGAGAACTGGCATATGGTGAATGTCTCCAGGAGAATCTACAGGTTGGAAACAGCCCACATCTGGATTTCGGCTCGAAGAACAAGGACTTGCCTGGGGGAAGAAGCACCTGCTCTTCCTTCCTTCCCAAGGCTGGCTGGACAGGCTGCCCATGAGCCAGGACCCACCACCTGCCTGCCCTTCTTCCCGTCTTGATCTAGTTCCAGCAGTGGAGCCTTGGAGAGGTCAAGACTCAATGTGGGTGTCAAGCAGCCTCTATCTTTGGAGCCACTGGATGTCCCAGCCCTTCAGTGGACTCTTGCACGTTCATGAAGACTGAGTCACAAACGCCCTGTCTCTTTCTTACTGTGGTTAGTATCTTGTTCTGTGATTGGTTAGCAGTGTTAACTATCCATGTAGCAAATCTTTTGTCTGCAATTTAGAGAATGTGTAAACAAATAAAAGGCTTTAAAACTCTTGGGAGCTCTTAGTTATTTTCCTCCCAGTCTTTAGAACATGAATGGCAAATGTATAAATTGTGTGAGGTCCACAATGTACAAATTCCATGTTGGGGTGTACAGTGGGACTGTGTTTGGGTGTGTAGCATGGGTATCCGGTTCCAGAGAAGCACCTGGTGCTTAACGTGTTTGCAAGGAGACTCCAGGAGCAACACCTTTCAGGTCTCAGTTGCTGCTTGGTGATGGAATTCTGACCCCATCACACCACACATAAGCTCCTGGGAAGCCATGTCAGGGCGGCTTTCATGGGCACAGCAGGGGGCGTAATTTCAACCTAGAGAGCTTCATTTGCAGGAGTGTGCCGACTCCTCTGAGAAGATCACGGGGCATTCCAAAGGGAGCCCACAGAAACTTCTGGAGAGGGAGAGGCCAATGATTCAGAGATGACTAATGGCAGAGGTGGGAAACATGGTGGGGAGTGGGATGGGGGAGCGGCCTCTAGATGGGGACTTTCTAGATACCAGCTGGTTCCATCTCAGTCAGGAACGGCCTTCCATAAAAGGCAGGGAGATGACTTCACTGGGCAAGGAACAAGAGGCCCTCACAGAAGGTACACCTCCACTAGGAGTCTCCAGAATCTGCTTAGCCGGCACCAAACAGGCAATATTATGGTGTATGATAGGCCAGGTCAGGGGGCCTTTGGGGGAGCAAGAAGAGCAATGGGCTTGGTGGGAATGTATTCGTGCTATTCATTAAGATGTGGGTGGGCATGGCGGGGGTGGGGAGAGCAAGTCAGTTTAGCTCTCCCCCCCGAGCTGCTTGCTCCCGTGTGCTCTGCTGTTCTTCAAGAAGCCATTCACGTGCCTTCAGTCTTGCTTGTCTCAGCATCATGTAGGCCTGTTATTTTAGCAGAGGAGCCACTAATTGTTGCTGCAGATGTGGGCCACTGAGCAGGTTTTAGCCCTCCCTGCAGCCAGGGGCCAGAGGAGAAAGGCCAGGCGTTTACCCAAAGTGGCCTTATGTGACAGCTGGGTTTGCAATGTTGAACTGCTGATTCCAGCAGCAGGGGACTTAGGCTCATAAAGGCCAGACAGGAAAAGATCATGCAAATGCCCACGTGCGGGCTTTCATCTGCACGGAGGGCTGGCCTTGCTTCTGCTCTAACCCCTGGGAGCCCGGCGTTGCATCCCGGTCTGTTATGCTCAAAATATTAGATCCCCCTAAATCTTTATGTTGAAAGGTCATGGTATTAGGAGGTGGGGCCTCTGGGAGGTGATTAGCAACCCTCATAACTGGTATTAATGTCCATTTAAAAGTGGGCTCTAAAGAGACCCCCAATACCCTTTTACCATGTGAAGTTAGCGTGTGATGAAGGATATGAGGATTGGGGCCCTCACCAGACACCAAATCTGTTGGCACTATGATTTTAAACTTCTTAACCTTCCAAACTGTGGGAAATAAATTTCCATTATTTATAAGGGAGGGCAAACCTGAAGCCATCCAATTAATGTTCAAGAAGACATGGAGCAGAAGGTCCTTCCTCTGTGGGGAGGGGAGGACTAAGAAGAAGGGACCAGAGATAAGAGGTTGATGTTGCTGCTCCTGGTAGGGACAGTCTAAGGATTCTGATGGGGATAGAACATGTTCCCCTCCTCCTTGGGTTAGTAGAAGAGATACTGTGAGAGGAGTCGCAGTTCTAGGTCTTATTTTATCTAGCTGGGGGACTTTTATAGATACAGGCATGAGGTCTGACAAACCCGGCTCTAGATTCAGGCGGGTTTGGGTAAGCAGCCATGCAGATCAAGGGTACATGCACATGAATGACCACACCTGTCCTTCAGCTCCTGGATCTCCCCAGAGGCCCTGTGGGGTACCCAACAGAACCTATCTCTACTCATCCCCTTGGTGTGGCATGGGACCCAGGGTGCCAGAGTCTCAGGTTGTTCTGAGTGATTTTCCAAGTTAATTCTGCAGAAGCCTAGGATTTGGAGATGGACTTTGGAGATGCCCAGATGCCCTGGGGATAGGGGTAGAAAGTAGTTTCCTGAGCTCCAATTTTCAGCTCAAACCATTGGCCAGCATAGCTCTGGTTTTCTCTTGTCTTTTATTGGTGGTTCTGTTGCTTTAAAAAAACAAAAACAGTCAACTCTGATTGGAAACCATCTTGGGTGCCAGAGGGTGGGAGGGGCACTAGGGATGTCCTCTGAGGCTGCAGAAGGCAGTGTGATGATAAGAAGGGCCCACGAGCCTCTGCCAGGTACAAATGGATGCAGTCCATTCCCAGCTTTCTCCAAGGCGGGGGTGGGGGGTGTTTGACTCTCCCTTTTGGGTTTCTCTTATCAGTGGAGGGACACTGATGTCCCCACCAGTCTTCCTTCATCCTCTCCTGGAGTTCCTGCAGCCCGCTGTGCTCACTAGCCTTCCACCCCCACCTCGGCCTACCCTAATGCTCAGCTGTCACAGCTTTGTCATAAGCCTGAGCCCAGCAGGGCCAGAACAAAAGTGTGTCCCCAAGGCGGGTGGGTTGAGAATGTTCTCGGGCTAAACTTTAGGTAATTAGCATTGTTAATGCTCGTTCTGTGATATTACAGCTGTGAGCCTCATTAAAGTGTTCTCCTGGGGGAAGCCAGCGCGATTCAGGTGTCAGCCCTGCTCTTCTTGTAAGCGTCTGCCTGCCATCTCCACGCCTGTGTTCAGAAGCCTGGCTCCTTCCCATTCCCTCCTCCTGCTCCCGCTCCCTGTCTGCTGGCATCTGGGCTGGGCCTGCGTCTCTCAGCTGGGACTTGCTCCTTCCTACCCCCTTCTCCAGAGTGGGAAGCTGCCTCCTGCTTTCTCCTGCCCCCACCCAAAGAGAAACGTGCCCACAGCGGAGAGCACAATGGCTGCCGCTGGTCTCCAGGATTCCAGAAGCTTTGAAAGAAAGGGTTTCCTGCTGTGGCCGGGAACTGAGCCTGCTTCTGCCATATTAGGGCATTGTCTCTCGGGCTTGTACCCTCCTTCCTCCTAGAAAACCCATTTGTACCCTCTCCTGACTGGATTTCCTGGGCTCGACTGGCATCTGCTGTAGTAGCCCCTCCTCAGAAAGAAACCTGAGTCCCACTGGCTTCAATTTCTGGGATTCCTGATTCCTGGGAGGGGAGGCCGGGGACTAACTATTTGCCAAACAGAGAAATATGAGACGCTCTTCAACCCCCTTGAAACCTTGAGGAAAATAATGGCTGCCCCTCCAGGGACCAAACACAGGCTCTACCCAAAACAGAGAGGGAAAACACAATTCCAGAGCCTCCCTGGGGTGTGGAGGAGAGAGAGAGGGAGGGTCTGGCCCTCCGTTGTCTTCCCTCTCTGCTTCTCTCAAGCCCCCAGGTCCTCTGTTCAGAAAGAGGCCCAGAGGGGTCTTGCAAGCCATTTTTGATGAGCATAGCTTGATTTTCTCATAGGGCTACAGACTTGTAGGATATAAAGCTTGGTATCATTGGGACAGCACATCCACTGATGCCTTTAATTCAGGATGGAATGACAGACATGTGGTCTCACAGGTATGCAGGAAGGAAGATCATTTCCAGAATGGCTTCATGGGGAGGTGCACTGGAACAGAGCCATGAGGGCTGTATGAGACCTTTTTGGGGGGTGAGTGATACTGGGGATTGAACTCAGGGGCACTTGATCACTGAGCCACATCCCCAGACTTAATTTGCATTGGATTTAGAGGCAGGGTCTCACTGAGTTGCTCAGTGCCTTGCTGTTGCTGAGGCTGGCTTTGAACTTGCCATCCTCCTGCCTCGGCCTCCCTGAGCTGCTAGGATCACGGGCCTGCACCACCATGCCTGGCTGTATGGGGTTTTGACAGCAGCGATTTGAGCTTTCCAAGTGGAGAGGGTAATGAAATCAAAGACCTTCCTTTATTCTAGGGATGTTGGTCTGGCCTGGGACCTTTGACTTGGGACACTGAAACCCAGATTGCATCCTAGATCTAGGGAAAACTCTCCTGTGGAGCCTGGACTGCACCAAGGGCTGCTTTCTGCAGCTGAGGGTTGATGTCAAGGGCTCTCAGAGTCTTTAACCTGTGAGAAATATGCCTGAGATGTTCCGGCCACTTGCCTGCCATTTTGTTTGATTTGTGGACTTGGATCCTGCCCAATTGGAACCTTTATTTCACCTCCCCACGCTCTATGTACCCTGAAAGATAGCCCCTGCTGACAGTCTCAGCTCCTTAACCTTCCTCTGAGTCCTTTTTAAATGGTTTCTTACAATCTTCATTTCCCCAAAATGAGCCACTCTTGCTTTCCATTTTGTCTTTTGTCCATGTGTCCGAATTGTGTTCTCCTATCTAGAATCCCCCCAGCACCCCTCCCCACCAGCTCCCCCTCCCCCCAGCTCCCCCACCCCCCAGCTCCTGTTATCTCACACACACACACACACACACAGGCTCTCTCTCCACCTACAAACAGCCTTATCTCAGCCTCTCTCCTAGGAGCCTCTCCTGACTTGTCCAAACAGCAGCTACTCTTCCCAGCACCTGGCACCCCCTGCATCATCATTCAGCTTTCTTGCTGGCCTGTCCCTCAGAATGAGCTCGTAGAGGGCAAGGACTGTGTCTGGTTCACTGTTGAATCCTGTTATCCTGGTGTATGTTCAACCAATGAATAGGTGGGTGGATACACAAATGTTTGAACAAACGATTGAGTAGGGAATGAATGAATGACAAAATCAGGGAACAAAGTGGTCAGAGAGTGGAGCACAGATGCCCCACAGACACAGGTCTTCCCGTCTCGGGCATGGCCGAGGCACAGTCTGCAGCACCTCTTCCTGGCCCCAGTAGGGGAAGGCAGCTTTGTTGTCTAAAATGGACTGGGAGCTGGGGCTTCACTCCTCTTTCTCTTCTGGGTTACTACAGGCTACTTGAAACTCAAATCCTTTATGTCCCACTGCATTATTAAACAGGATCTTTTTCAAGTGGGCCACTCTGTGTTTCTCTTAAAGGAAATCCACTATGCACTTAAAGAAATAATAAATTAGCTGGGCAGGGTGGTGCACGCCTATAATCCCAGTGGCTCAGGTGGCTGAGACAGGAGGATGGTGAGTTCAAAGCCAGCCTCAGCAACTTAGTGAGGCTTTAAGCAACTTAGTGAGACCCTGTCTCCAAGTAAAATATAAAAAATGCTGGGGATGTGGCTCAGTGGTTAAGCACCCCTGTGTTCAATCCCTAGTACACCCCCCACACAAAACAAACAAATATATAAACAAAAAACAAAAACAAAGAAAGAAAAAGAAAAGAAATAATAAATTATGAAAATGATCTTCATGATTCTCTGGGGGACCAGCTTTTTCCTTAGAAAGCTCATAAAAGACTGAAAAAATACATGATTAGCTTAGTTCCTAAACAGGCATTCACAGACTATAAAGTGGACATGAAAGTACAGGGTTTAAAACTGGTGGTTTACAACTACCCTTTGATGTAAAGGTCTAGGTAGGAATCAGGGCCTGCCCTTTCTCCAAAGGTACCCAGCTTTGGAGGGGGCAGAATGCAGTTTCTGGGGTGATCCTTTGGTTGAGTTCTTGTTGTGTCATAGAATCATTAGCTTTCCTCTAGTCGTGCCATTTAAAAATACACACTGCTCTCCTGTATGCTTTTAATTATGTCTTGAGGCCAAAATTATTGCCCTTGGGAATACATTTCCAATTACATAATGGAAGTCAGTAAGAAAATACTTTCAATTACAAAAATCATTGGACTCTAGCATTTAAGGATCCATTTGCTGAATGGAAGGAGGCACCAGCTCATCTCTGCGGCCTGTGCATGACAAGGTCACCAATGGAGGGGGCTTTGGGAGAATACTTGGAGGGAAGGTTCTCCATGACACTCATGGGCTGGGATAATTGACTGGTAGTGGACATATCACTTAACCTCCTTGAGCCTCAGTTTCCTCATATGTAGAATGGAGAGGATGACACCTACTTCCTAGCGTTTCTATGAAAACGAAATATGCTCTGAAGTGTTTCGTCCCTGGCACATACTGTTCTGCCTCCCTTGTCCTCTGACCACCCTTGTCACCACCATTTAATGATAGATGTATCAATGGCTTGATTTTAAGATGAAAGGTGAATAAGATCCTGCTTTCAACGTATAAATTCTCTCAATAATCTTAGGTGGAAGAATAGGGCAGAGGAAAACCTGTATGGGAATGAGGGAGATGAGGCTTTGCTTCTTTCTTACATCTTCATGGAGAGAATGACCCCGTCTCTACCCCGCATTGGTGGGAAGATGTAATGAGATAAATTAGGGAAGTAAAGCTCCTGTCTGAACCTGGCACACAAGAGACTCCCACTAAATAGTGCCATTGTCTCCTAGTGTTGAGTTTGTCCATGGAAATGGAGAAGAATGTGGCCAAGCCTACAAGAACAGCTAGACCATGCCCAGAGGGTTTGGTGGAGAGGGGGCTCCAGTGGAAAGAGAGCTAGGAAGACCAAAGGGCCCAGGTGACATTTGAGCTCCTGTGGACATTAACAGGAGGAGCAGGGACAGATTCCTCCAGGCACATATGCAGAAACAAGATGTGGCTGGTGGTCCTGGCTGGCCCATGTGCAGGAGTACTTTAGAGGATGAGGCAGGAACCTCTGGGCTTGGGGACTGACCTGGACAGCCTGGAGGGATTGGTGGCTTTGGCTGGAAGCAACGGAGAGTCACTGAATGTTCCTGATCGAGGGAGTGTTGTAGGCTGTGCTGGGTGGGCTGGATTTGAGGAGGGGTTGCAGGAGGCCCCTGGTTCTCAGGCCAAGACTCTGTCACTTGGACCCTGGCAGCTGATGATTGCAGGGGACTGCACTTACCTAGCCATGGCTGGCCAGATGCCCAGGATGTGTGGGCGAGTACACTGCAGACCATACTCTCCAGGCCAGGCTGAGCCTTCTTCAGGATAAGATGAAGGGGCTGGAGGCCACAGCCCCTTTGCTCTGCACCCTGTCTACCAAGGAACTGACTCCCTTTCCTCCTCCCATCCTTTCCTGTCCTTCTTTCCTCTTTTGTGCAGCTGAAGCAGGCTGGGGGAGGTTAGAGATGTGTGTGTGTGTGTGTGTGTGTTGGGGTGGACCTCAGCGGGGGCTCCTCAGCCAGTAGTGGGGAGGGGAAAGGAGAGAGGCTGTGAACTTGGGGTGGTCAGTGCTGGTGGCCACTTGGCCTGTCTGCACCCTCTTGTGTCTGAGGTATCTACAGCCCAGAGCAGAAGGTGAAGCCGCTATGGTAGAGGAGCTAAGCATGGAGAAGACCCCTGCAGAGCTGTTTTCTAGTCCCTAGATGGGCTTCCGGGGTCCTTGAACTCATCTGTAGAATTGCGTGTGCCCGTGAGGGGAGGGGTGCACCCCCACACGCACATGTTTCCTGGCTTCTGTCAGAAGGGCCTGTGACAGCTCAAAAGCTTGAACACCCCTTGTCAGTGCAGCCCTTCATCTTTCAGAGAAAACTGAGGCCTAGAGAGGAAGAGTGGTTTGCTGGGTCCCACAACTGGTTAACTGCCGTCCCTGGCAAAGCAGAAGAGAAGGAAGGGGTCAGGAGAGCAGGGACGCTGGGAGCTGGCCCAGGGCTGGAAACAGAGAGGAGAGAGGGAGGGGCAGAAGAGAGAAAGGAGAGCCCAGAATTGCCTGGGGATTAACCATCTGTGTGTGTGGTAGGGGCCAGTCCCCCCAGGATACCTGATCCCCTTCTCCAGGTATTGTGCATGTACTTTCCCAGGGACGGACTGGGCTGGACTGGGCAGTGGGTGGGGCGGGAATTGAAGGCAGTAACAAGTTGACTCTGTGTGTTGGTGTGAGAGAGAGACAGGGAAGCGCGTGACAGGCAGAGTGGGAGGCTGAGGGCACACAGGTAGGGCCAGCCTTCCCTCCCTGCCCTCAGACGGGAGCTCTTTAAGCGTGTGGAGTCTTCTTGAGGCTTTGGGGCCTGGACAGGTGTGCAGGGAGCCAAAAGCCTCCACCAGAATTTTCCTAAGGGCAGTTCCAGGAGTGTGAACTTGAGGGCTAAGTGTATGTTAACCCCCAGGACTCGAAGGCTGGGCTTGGAGCTTGTTGTTAAAAATCCCATTAGCTCCAGGTGCTGTGGCGCACGCCTGTA